ACTATATCACCGTTGGAATCATCATAGCTAAAACGGCAATAAATTACTTCAGTAGCTGATAGAGCAGCTTCTATCTGCTTACTTCTTTTCTTCACGTTGACTTCGCTTTTCTTGGCTATTTGTCTATGTTAATATTATGATCAGTTTGTTAAGTTCCATGTTTTTTTTAAAAAAATCTGTGGTATTTTAAATGAGAGTACAAAAGAATTCTACATCAATTAGAGGATAATTCAAAGAGCTCTCGTGGCTTAGTGGTAAGGAGTTGCATTGTCTTTACTCAAGGGAATAAGGTTCAAATCTACCTTGCTCCATGGGAGAAAGATGGACAATCTCATCCCATGAGATTTCCTACCTCTGAAAACCCACTGGACGCTCAGCTATAAATCAGTTGGAAAAGGAGAAAGCAAAAAATTGCTTTCTTAAAATTGGCCCTTGCTTTTGTGAATATTGGCTACCTCTGGTGGCCTATTGGTAAGAAGCTGTACTGCAATCCCTAAGGCACACGGTTCTAATCCATCCGCTGCTCTGTGAGAGAAGGAAGACAAACTCCTCTTGTGTGATTAACTACTTCTGAAAACCCACTAGAGAATCAGCTTTGGGTCTGTGCTGACTCAACAATATGCAATAACATCAGAGTGAATAGAGGGCACTGAGTGATAGCAATTGCTTAAACTAAACTAAACTAAGTTAAACTAATAAACTAAACTCAAGCTACAGATGGGCAATAGGCTCCTGTTCAATTTAAGCCTCTGAAAGCCTGCTGAAGGGTCATCTAGGAGCTTTCTTTAACAGTAACAATAAACTAAATGCTGGCAGTTTGAACCCACCCAGCAGTCATCCACATGATAGAAAAGTCTTGCAATCTGCATTCATCAAAGTTTACAGCCAAGAAAACCCTAACTTACATATTCATAGACTCTATGACACATGGGGTTATAACAAGTTAGAATCAATTCCACAGTAACAGTTTTGCATTTTTAGTTTTAAAATTAATTATAGGTGTTCTTTATTAAAACTTTATCATCAGATAAAGGGAGCTCTGATGATCAGTATGGAGTTGTGCTGCTAATACACAGGAGGAGAAGTGTGGCATCAGGATTGGTGGAAGATCTATTAACAATCTGCATTATGCAGATGACACAACTCTGCTTGCTGAAACTGACGAGGACCTGAAATGCTTGCTACAGAGGGTCAAGAACTGCAGCCTTCAGTATGGATTGAAGCTCAATGTCAAGAAGACAAAGATTCTAACCACTGGACCAATTGGCAGCATCAGGATGGATGGTGAAGAGATTGAGATTGTTAACAACTTTAGTCTGCTTGGCTCCACGGTCAACACTCTTGGCACAGGTAGCCAGGAAATAAAAAAATGTATTGTGATGGGAAAGTCTGCTGTTAGGGACCTCTCCAGGGTACTGAAGAACAATGGTGTAGCTCTGGAGACTAAGATGCGTCTGATACAGGCCATGGCCTTTGCAATCACTTGTTATGCATCAGAGAGTTGTACAATGGCTAAGGAGGATAGAAGGAGAATTGATGCCTTTGAGCTGTGGTGCTGGAGAAGAGTATTGAATGTACCATGGACTGCCAAGAAAACAAACAGATTCATACAGGAGAGGGTTAAACCAGGCTGCTCCTTGGAGGCAAGGATTCTGAGGCTTCGTCTGACATACTTTGGACATGTTGTAAGGAGGGAGAGGTCCTTGGAGAGGGACATCATGCTTGTGAGGGTGGAGGGACGGCGCAGAAGGGGAAGACCCTCTATGAGGTGGATTGATTCAGTGACTGGGGTAATCGGGATGGGTGTGTCAGAGGCAGTGAGATTGGCACAGGATAGAGCAGGGTTTAGGGCTGTTGTATATAGGGTCGCTATGAGTTGCAAGCGACTCAACAGCACACAACAACAACAACAACAATCTCTCTGGTGGTTCATTTCCATCAGTGACTCTATGAGAGAAAAGTGAACATTCTCCTCCCATTACATTTACAGTCTCAGAAACAGAGTAAAAAAGTCATCTGTAAGTTGGTTTCAACTAAATGACAATGAATTTTAGGTACTTTGTTTTGTTTTTTTAAGTTATTGCCACTTAAGTATACAATATAAGTCAGTATTGATTTTTTAAAAAATATTTCTATCCAAAGGAACTCTGGTGGCCTAGTGGCAAGAAGTTGCACTGCAAGCTCCTCCTCTCCTATACCAGTCAGACCTGATTTGACGGTACACACTCAAAATAATAATAAATTTAAAAAATATTTCTATCCAACAAACTTTCTAAACTCTTAGTTCATCTCAGATTCCTTTGGATTTTACTTATTTTTCTAATCATATTTTCTGACTTCTATCTACTTTATTCTTTTCTTTCCAACTCTTATATGACAAAATATGTCCAATGTTCTTTTCATAAGCAGGACAACACTTCTAACTTCCCTGCTTTGTTCTGCTTTGTGACCATATCTCTTTTACCAAACATATCTGAACATGCCAGACCCCAGCCACCAGGGCCCAATTCCTGACTGATCACTCTCCGGACCAAGGCAGCATCAGCAATGGCACAAAACTCTTGCTTTGAACTTTCTCTTTGTCTCTTATACCTAAAGCTAAAGGCTTTTTAGTTGGTTTGGGGCAGTTTTATTTCTTTTACTTTTATAATACATCTAGAATTTTTGTGTATTTTAATAAGAATGAGATCTATCAACATCAGCTTAGCTTGCCAAGATTTCAAGAGCTTCACCTTTGAAATCTTACACTGCCATCTCATATGAGGTGACCAGCTCTACTGAAGCCTCCACCTTTGCTGAATCCTTCCAAGCCTGAGACACTATAATTCTCTGTGAAGATAGAAAAAGACATTTAAGAAGAACCAAATTCCTTCAGAAACAGAGGTGGGAAAAAAATACATCATATTTTTGAGAAAGCTTATCAGATTTTCATTCTCTGTATCATACATGTATACCATAGGAACCCCTGAGAATTAGTGACTGAATTAGCTAAAAATTGAATTAATTAGCAAGTAGAAATGTCTTTTAAAAAATCAATAAATTGCTGTTAAAAAGATTACAATATGTATAACTAAGCATGTGTATCTAAACTGAGTAAGTTTATTTCTCTCCTGCAGAACAGTTCCAGTTAGTATTTCTAGTGGTGAGTGGCTCTCCATGACACAGTAGAAAAAGAAACACACTCCTTTCCACCATGTGATTCCACTATCTCATTCAGATTCTATCCATGTGTACTCAGTTGGAAAAAAGAAAGCATGTGGAAAAGACAGAACTAAGGATTGGCTCTAGCATTGCCTAGAACTCAATCACATGACCGCACCTTGCAACAAAGGAGGTTGGGAAATGTAGGCTAGCTGAGTGTGTAGAAGATGAAGAAAATAACATAGTTTTGGGTAAGGAGTTCATAGTTTCTGTTACAATTATTGTGGTCTCAGAATATAGGTGATAGATAGATAGATTGATAGATAATAGACAAATAGTTGATAGATGATGGAAGGAAGGAAGGAAGGAAGGAAGGAAGGAAGGAAGGAAGGAAGGAAGGAAGGAAGGAAGGAAGGAAGGAAGGAAGGAAGGAAGGAAGGAAAGAGAAAGAAAGAGAGAGAAGGAAGGAAGGAAGGAAGGAAGGAAGGAAGGAAGGAAAGAGAAAGAAAACATTAGTCAAGCCATTAAGGGAGTATTATATTTCAGGAGCAAAATTATGAAAATCTAAGCTGGCGACAGTAAAAAAAAAGTAGAGTTACGTAAGAATTCTTTTAAATAAATATCAACAAGATCAGATGTAGAAGTGAGGGGGACAGTGAGTAAATGTGCTTGCAGACATCCTAAACATGAGGAACCCATGGGAAAATCTTGATTCAACTCAAGACGTACTGATACAAACTCAATGGTGTCAAAAATGAAAAATACTTCACGATAACCTGGCAGAAAATAAAAATGAACAAGATGTGGTTTTCCTCTTAAAAAAAGAAAATTCATTCTACTTAGGTTGAATGTGTCGAGTGTGAGGCTTAGATAGAATTGACAGTAGGATTACTAACTATGTAAATATATAAAGGACAGATCAAGTCGAACTATAGAGAACTCTGTGGAGACTCTCTGTCGACAGTCATACTCATTGGCAAAGTGATAGTTGAAACCACTGTGAAGCTAGATGAGTCACCAAAAAGAAATAATGACGAAAGAGAATCATAAGAAGAAAAACAGAGAGATTATATCTAGCTTGGAAAAGAGGCAACATCTATCAATGAGTTGGATAATAAGTCCATTTTGAAAACAAAACCATTAGGAGAATGGATAGTTCACTGAGGTGGTTTTGCTTCTTGTGATTTATAATTAATCAATACCAATACAGACAATCCTCATTTTTCTGGGATCAGTTTTACTCTGAGTTTAATAAGTAGACCCATTCCTAACTGTCCATGATAGTTCTACTGACACATCTGTGACCTGTAGTATATTATCTTAGATTCCAAAATATTATGATTTTAGAATCATGTGTTATAAAATAGACATTGGCTTCGCCATTAAGTAGCAGAACACTGTGGAAAGAAGCTATGCATAAATTTTCATTCTTTTCTCCAACACAGTGCCTGGGCTGGTTTCACAACAAATAATTATAAATTCAAAAAGTTGACTAGCAAACTATATTTTTTGTCCTCAGATTTGTGATCTTCCATACATCCTAACAAAATTTTTAGCGAACAGACCATGAAAAATTGATTATTTGCTGTATTATTAAATCTTAGTGTCAGGGTAGTAGTGATGGGTTGGGGAGGATGGGAACCTCTGATTCAGAGTGCTTTCAAAAGTGTTTCTAGTGTGACTTACAGTGTTATTTGACTGAAAAGGACTTTTGTCCAAAAATATTAGATATCCTGGGATTTACTACACCTATGTAGAAAAGTAATTGAACTTCAGAGGACTCAAAAGTATAGGGATGATCACTAAAAACTGATTTTATTAATATTCTAGAATCTTCCCCTATTCATACAGAAGGAACCATGAGGGAAGAAAACCAGTCCTCTACTCCAGGCTTCATTCTCCTGGGAATTACTGGTCAGCAGGAGCAGGAAGACGTCTTCTTCATCCTCTTCCTGTTTATTTACCCCATCACATTGGTTGGAAACTTGCTCATGATCTTGGCTATCCACTCTGATGAGCGCCTTCACAATCCCATGTACTTTTTCCTTGCCAATCTCTCCTTTGTTGATATTCTATTCTCATCTGTGACTGTCCCAAAGATGTTAACAAACTATCTTTTGAGCAACAAAGCAATCTCCTCTGCAGGATGCCTAACACAGATGTATTTTATGATTGCCTTGGCCAACATAGATAGCTATATCTTGTCTGTGATGGCCTATGACCGTGCTGTGGCCATCAGCCGCCCCCTTCATTATACAACAATTATCAGCCCAAGGTCTTGTATCCTGCTTGTTGTTGGGTCTTGGGTAATTGGAAACACAAATGCTCTCCCCCAAACTCTATTTACAGCCAGTCTTTCCTTCTGTGCCAATAAGGAAATAACCAACTTTTACTGTGACATTATACCTTTGCTAAAGTTGTCCTGTTCTGATATCTACTTTAATGTGAAAATGATGTATGTAGGGGTTAGTATATTCTGTGTGCCATTAATAGGCATAGTTATCTCCTATATTCGGGTCTTCGCCACGGTGCTGCGGGTTCCCTCCACTAAGGGCTTGCTCAAAGCCTTCTCCACCTGTGGCTCCCACCTCACAGTTGTTTCTTTGTATTATGGAACGGTGATGGGCATGTATTTCCGTCCTCTGACCAGTTACAGTCTAAAGGATGCAGTGATAACTATAATGTACACAGCAGTGACTCCAATGCTAAATCCTTTCATCTACAGTCTGAGAAACCGGGACATGAAGGCTGCCTTGGGAAAACTATTTAGAAAGATAATTTTCTCATAACTAGTAAACACCCATAAACTGAGAACAGGAATCCCCATTAAGCATTCACTTAAAAGGCCAGCCTAATGTCACCCCTTCAAAGAGTTATTACTGATCATTCCAGGAAGAAGGTTCCTCTTTTTGGAAATCTTGTAATAGTTTGCTGAGACATCTTCTTTTTGGCAGAATGGAAGTACAAAACTACTAGCTTCAAGTCCCAGTTGTGCCACTGATTAGCGCAGTAAATTTGAGAAAGTCAGAACCTGTGATTCCACATCTCCATATTAGAAATAATCAACTCTGTCTAGTCTCCAATGTAGGGTGGAGAAGATCACATTAACTCATGCTTTGAATATGAATCTCTATTGAAATGTTAGTTTTATTGCACTATTATATTTAATCCCAATATTGCACTTACAGGTCACCATGGTGGTATAGTGGTTAAAGCATTCAGGTTCTAACCAAAAGGTCAGTGATTCAAACCCACTGATGATTCCTCAATGGGCAAAAGACGTAGCACTCTGCTTCTGTAAAGATTTACAGCCTGGAAACCCTGTGGCACAGTTCGACCCTGTTTTACAGGGTCACTGTGAGTTGGAATCAACTTGATGGCAGTGGTTTAGGTCATTATGCTCATTTTGTCTAACATAAAGTTAGAGAAATGGGGAGACGCTGGTACATAATTTGTGATAGGAAGTTTTCCTCTTTCAAACGTCATCCATTGAAATGTATTCTTTCAACAAGTGAAAATGTAATAATAATAATAATAAAAGTGTATTTATGCATTTGTGGTTTTAAAATAATATAAAAATCACAGAACTTAGGAATAGGAGCAAAGGAAATGAAGGAAGAAGTTCAAGCTGCACTGAAAGCATGGGCAAAAAATAAGGCCACAGGAATTGATGGGATAGCAACTGATATGGTTCAACTTACAGATGCCACTCTGGGGGTGCTGGCCCATCCATACCACGAAATTTGGAGGTCAGCTTCCCAGTTGATGGACTGGAAGAGATTCATATTTGTTCCCAATCCCAAGAAGGTGACCAACAGAATGTGGTAATTACCAAACAATATCACTGACAGCAAGATATTGCAGAAGGTCATTAAAAAACAAACAAACAAACAAACCAAACAAACAAAAAAAAAAAAACAAGCTAGAACAGTAAGTACAGTGACAGAGACCTGTCAGGAGTTCAAGATGGGTTTAGAAGAGATCATGGCACCACAGATATCACTGTTGATGTTGGATAGATCCTGGCTGAAAGCAGAGAATACCAACACTGTCTATTTGTGGTTTATTGACTATGCAGTGGCATTTGACAGTGTGGGTAATAACAAATGATGGCTAACACTGAGAATAATAGGAATCCCAGAACACGCAATTATACAAAATCTATACTTAGACTAAGAAGCTGTTGTCTGAGCGAAGCAAGCAAATTGCCTGTTTTAAAATCAATACAGTTATAAATCTGGGTTGTAGCCTTTCTCATACCTATTCAGACCATATGTTAAAAAATAATTTGACAAACTGGAATCCGTGGAGAAGAATGTGGCATCAAGAGTGCTAGAAGACTCACCAATAGTGTTATGCAGCTGATACAATGTCACTTACTGAAAATAAAGAGGACTTGAAACACTTGCTGCAAAAGATCAAAGACAACAGCCTTCAGTATACACAAAAATCCTTACCACTGGGCCAATAGGCAATACCATGAAGATGGAGGAAAACAATGAACTGTCAATTATTTAATCTTAATTGGATCCACAATCAACACCCTTAGTACATCAGAGACATACTGCATTGGGCAAGACTGCTGTCAGAGACTTCTCTAATTTACTAAGGTGCAACGATGTCAGTTTTAAGACTAAGGTATGCCTGTCAGGCCCTGGTCTTTTTCAATCATCTGAGAGCTGGACAATGAATAAGAATGGCAGAAGAAGAATTAATGACTTTGAGCTGTGGTGTTGGAGAAGATTACTGAATTTCCCATGCTGCCAAAAAGAACAACCAGTTATGTCTCGGAAAAAGCACAGAGCGTTCCTTAGAGTCAAAGAAGGTGAAGCTTCATATCTCTCTTTCTTTCTTTCTCTCTTTCTTTCTCTCTTTCTTTCTCTCTTTCTTTCTTTCCTTCCTTCCTTCCTTCCTTCCTTCCTTCCTTCCTTCCTTCCTTCCTTTTCTTTCTTTTCTTTCCTTCTCTCTCTCTCCCTCTCCCCTCTCCCCCTCCCCCTCCCCTCCCCTCCTCCCTCCTCCTGCTTCTTCTTCTTCTTCTTCTTTCTCTGTTTTTGTTTTCCTTTTTCTTTTTCAAGTTCCCATTGATTTTTAAAATTTTGTACTAGTTTACCTACAAAGTTTGTATACATTGCCCCTCACATTAGATCCCTTCTACACCATCAAACCTTGCGATTCCATGATTACATGCCCCCCTGCCTCTCCTCACCTCTCTACTCCCCCACACTTAGATCCTCATACATGTTTTACTAGTTATCTATTTCTATAATAATGGTCTTATACAGTATTTGTCCTTATGGGACTGAATTAGTTCACTTAGCATAATACTCTCCAGTCCCTCCCAAGTTAGGTTGTGATTTACAAAATCATTACTCCAGCATGCTGTATAGTAGTATTCCATTGTGTGAATGTACCATAATATCTCAATCTATTCCATTGTGATTGGACATTTGAGCTGTTTCCGTGTCCTTATGATGGTGAGTAACACTGCTATGTTGGTGTACAAATCTCCATTTGTGACTCAGTTCTAATTCTCTTGGGGTATGTTCCAAGCAGTGGGATAGATGGGTCATATGAAATTTCTATGTTCAGCTTTCTGAGGAAATGCCACACTGCCTTCCAGAGTGGTTGTATCACTTTACAATCCCATCAACAATGTATAAGAGTTCTTTTCTTGTCACATCCTCTCCAACATTTATTGCTTGCTGCCCTATTAAACTTTGCCACTGCTACTGGAATGAGATGGTATCTCATTGTGGTTTTGATTTGCAACTCTCTTATTGCCAGTGATTTTGAGCATTTCTTCATGTGTCTGTTGGCCATTGTAATATCTTCCTCTATGAAAATTTTTTGCATGTCTTTTCCCCATTTTGTAATTGTGTTATCAGTCTTTTTCTTGTGGAGGCCCTGTAGGATTCTGTAAACTTTTTATATGAGACCCTTGTCTGAAAAGGTATTGCCAATGTTTTTTCCCCATTCAGAAGGTTTTCTTTTCACTCTGCTGGAAAAAGGTTTTGATGAGCACAGGGATTTAATTTTTAGAAAATTCATTAATTTTATTCTTTCCAGACTGAGCATTTCTGGCTGTATTTTGTCAGTCTCTTTACACCATAAACGAAGCCTTCTACGCTTGATCCCAGCTTGTCTCTGATGAACTTTATGGTTTGGGGCTTTACTCCCAGATCTCCAATCCACCTTGTGTCTCTTATACTTTGAATATGTTCCTAACAGAGGTTATTCCTTAGTTAAGGACATCATCCTTGGAAAAGTGGAGGGTCAGCAAAAGAGAGGAAGAACCTCGACAAGACATATTGACACAGTGACTGAAACAATGGGCTCAAGTGTGTCTGAGATGATGAGGATGGCACAGGATAGGACAGGGTTCAGATCTACTGTTCATAGGGTCGCTATGAGTTTTACTAGACTCAATAGCATCTAAAACCAATGTCATATAGGTCAAGTCAGTTATTATTTACCTAAGCCATCTTCCTTTGTTTCTACCAAATGTAACCTTGATTTTTTAAATATTTTTTTATTTTTAATTACTGTTAGACTCACAAGAAATAATGAAAATGGTACTGAAAGTTGTCAAGTACTCTTTACTCAGCTTCTCCCAAAAGTATCTTCTATAAGCATGATATATTATGGAAACCAGACAATTTATTTTGGTAAAATGCTATTAAATCACATAGATATAAAACTGAATTGGGTCTTATACAGTTTTATATGTACTCTTGTTTTTATGCATATGTGTGTACACATAGCTCTTTGATAATTTATCACATATGTGAATTCAAATAACAATCCCTTTGGTCAAGATACAGAATTATATAGAGAATGCAGCAGTCAGAGAAACCTGGCCACCAGCTAGGGTACTGATCACCAAGGGCAGTTACATACTTTAGAAGAGGTAGACCATACTTAGGATAGATTCCCACCAGGCTGTTTGAGACCTGAGAGGGCAGTGAATAGAGATACTAGGAGCTACCTCTGCCCCTGCACCACCTGATAGACAGTACAGTAGTCAGAGAAACCTGGTCACTAGCCCCTCCACAGACCACAGAGGACAATAATAAACTTTAGGAGAGGTGGGACTGCACTTGGGAGAGATTCTCTTAGGGCTGCACTGAAGGCCAGAAAGAACCTGAGGGACTTTAGGAAAGGCAAGCTTTCCCACTGCAAAGGACAAGAAAGGACTTCTGGTAGGGTGAGTTTCCCTACCCCATAAAGGGAACTTTAAGTCTGCAACTAATGAATATTGTTGTTGTTATGTGCTATCAAGTGGCCTGCAAATTATAGAGACCCTATGTATAGCAGCTCTGAAGTCTGCCCTGTCCTGAGTCAGTCTCACTAACTCCAACACACCTAACTTTATTGCCCAAGTTACTGTATCAATCCATCTCATCCAGGGTCTTCCTCTCCTGTCGCTCCAATCTTCTGAGAATGATGTCCTTCTCCAAGGACTGGTCCCTCCTGGCCATGTGCCCAAAGTATGTGAGCCAGAGCTTCAAAATCTTAACCTCCAAGGAGATACCTGGTTTCACCCTCTCCAAGACAGACCATGTGGTCTCCTATTGTGCATAGAGTCACTATGAGTCAGCGCCAATTCTGTGGCACCTAACAACAGCAACTGTCTAAAGTTATATAGCTAATAAGTGGCAGCATCTGGATTCAAACCCAGTCAGAACTCACAGATCCCAACATGGTCTCCACAAAACAATTATTGACCTGCAACAGAAGGGAGCTCTGATGGCCTACTGGAAATGGTACTGCAATCCCAAAGGCACGTGGT